AGGCGTAAGTTAGCTTTCGAGAAAACATTACTTTTCTGGAAGTGTCAACTAACGCCAACATAGTTTAAATTACCTAGTACGAATGCTGTGAATATTTACATTGTGAAATTCATTTACTTACTGTTTACTTCTTTAGTAATGAAGACATGCCAGAAAATATTTTAGCAGCAACAAAACATTCTAAAACCATGACTGTAATGCCTGTTATAGGTAAGATTGTTTCTTTTGCATTTCTTATTTAGCTTAAATTAAGAAAATATCAAAAATCAAATATATATCAAATAACCTCAAATTCATTTGCCACAGTGGTGTAACCTTCAAAGTGTAACTTACCTACTGAGCTCCTGGATTAATGTAATTCCAAGCCCTAGTACACAGTCTATTTAACAAAACCCAGGATGCTGCAGGTTTAATAACTCTTCAGCAGAAGCATAATTAATTTATATAGTCCTGGATTAAGGGGAGGAGAAAATATTATCAGCCAGGGGCTGTCATTCCCAAACATTGGCCACTGACTCCTTATTAGAAGGTTTCTGTAGAATTTGGATGTAGGCGAGGTAGAGCTGGACTATGATGTTTTATTCCAGGTTCCCTCAATGACCATTCATCATTTTTAAATCAGAGAATTGTGTGTGCATGGAACCCCTCAATATGTACAATGTGAATTGTTTAAGAGGGTGGGAAACAAAAAATAATTTCACATCAGCAAGCGTACTCAATTAACAACCACCCTCACCATCTTATTCCTTCAAGTAGATTGCAACTGTCTGTACATTAATATTAGATGTACCTGTCACTCTAGAAATAATTATTTGTTAGAATAAGGAATACATTTTCACCTTGCAGTAAACCAGTCTGAGGTCAGCCAGGTGACACTCATCTGAGAGTTCCCTGATTGGGGCTGTTCCAATCTGTTCCAATTGGAGAGTCCTGGCTTACAGATAAGAACATGACTGTCTGACATCCTGTTCACTCTGACGGCTGGCTCTGAGGGAGCTGGATCAGCGTAAAGGACTCTTCACGTATGAATAAAGGGTGACTTGATGACAGGACACTGGCCTCTGTGGAGTTATATCAGTGGTGACAAGAAAAAGCACGGTCCTGAAGAAACTCACTTGCAACAGTTGTCTTTGAGTTGGCGTAAGCATTTCTGGCATCATGCCGTTATTTGGGATGCTTAACTCATTCAATTCTGCCATCAAAGACTGGGCCCAATGTGTCATTTTTTCCGGCAAATGACATTGGGCGGATGAGAAAACAATGAGTAATTCTCCTGACAGCTTGTGGACCCGCAGTTTTTTTTCGGTTATTGGGAGCCTAACTTTCTGTGAGGCACCAGATATGAAGACCTTTCAAGAGTTCACAGATTTAGCGAAGGAATATTACGACCCCAAGCTTCCTCTAATGCAGAAACAGTATTGGTTTTACTTGGCAATTTGAGAAACATGGGAATCCGTATTGGGAATTTTGACTAGGTTAAGATGACCAGCAGAGGCATCTGACTTCAGTTTATTGCTTAATGAGATGCTGAGAGACCATTTGGTATGTGGGATTAATGATGTAACTATGCAAAAGTGCCAACTAGCTGAAGCCCAATTGGACTTCAAACAGGCACTACAACTGGCTTTATCACTGGACTATCTGGCAAGTGGGACATATGAAGTTACAGGGTATTCCGATGGAAGTGGACACCCTTGCCAGTCCGACTGAGCTTAAGGAACCCCACTTGAGTGAAAGCAATTACACGACATATCAGCCCACAGCAAAACCTTAAAACAAGGCAAAATCTCAGCCAAACAGATAAAATTTACTTCCAGATCCGAGCCAGCAAGCCATTGTAGTTGCTGCTGGTATGCGGACCTGAGACAAGAAGAAAGTCTCACTAGGCCCAGATGGCGTAAGAGAACTCATAGGCTGGTATCCAGAAGAATGTCCACCTACACCTGGTCTGGAACAGTTAAATTGCTTAGCAACATCTAAATCAGAACCAAACAAAAAAAAACGACTGGTGAAATGGTCACCTGGATCTAATGGAGGTCGATACTGGCAAGGCAGACTTTAGCCAAATTCACTCGGCCTACAACCCTTAAGTTTGCAGAAGGCCTTGGCTAGACTGAGAATTTATACCGGGGTCCTTTTACAGATTAAGGTACAATCTTAATTCCGGTCTCTTATGAGAAGCAGCTGGCTCTGTTACCACCAGTTGTTGTAAAAGGCTCGAGCCCAAGCCTGATGGGGCAAAATTGGTTGAGAAACATCCAGCTAGATTGGCTCAACATTTTTCGATTAGAAAATGGCTGCCTGAGTGAAGTCCTAATTAAATACCCGGAAGATTTTCAGGAAAGTCTAGGGACTATTCAAAGAAACCAACTGCGGTCGCTGTAAATCAGGAACAAAAACAGAAGTTGCTGGAAAAGTTCAGCAGGTCTGGCAGCATCAGTGAAGAAAAAGTCAGAGTTAATGTTCTGGGTCCGGTGACCCTTAGTGAGGGTGAATTCCACAATTCTGAAAGGCCTGCACAGTCCCATTTCTTTATGGGCAAAAATACAGGCAGAAATCAGAAGGCTGGAAAGTGAAGCAATCATCAAGCTAGTGCAGTTTGTGGAATGTGCAGCACTGGTTGTACCGATTGTGAAGCCTGATGGATCGGTTCACCTTTGTGGGGTTCTAAACAAATGGTAAACCACTTTTCGCAGTTGGATAAAAAGACGAACCCTCACATTAGAGGTTTTATATGGAAAGCTAGCAGGAGGGCTGTTCTTCACTAAGCTGGACATGAGCCATGCGTACTTGCAATTGTGGTTAAATGAAGATTCCCAGAAGTTTGCCACAATTAATGCCCATAAGGGTTTGTGCCAATATTCAAGCGTGCCATTTGGGGTATTGTCAGCCTGTGCAATTTTTCAGCAGACGACGGAGAACATTTTACAAGGTCTACCTCAGGTCGCCATTTATCTAGATGACATGCTAATAACAGGGAAGACCAGAGAACTTGGACATAGTCCTCAAGACATTTTTCCCAGGCGGACATATGCCTTAGAAGGGAAAAAAAATCTGCATTCTATGCACCCCAAATGACTTACCTGGGCAACAGAGTCAACACACCAGGTTACACCTGTTGGAAAATTAAGTGAAGGCAATCAAATGTGCCCTGGCTCCCACATCTGTACCGGAGCTTAGGTCTTTCCTTGGGCTGGTGAATTATTGAGTGTTCATACATAAACTGGCCTCCATCCTGGCACATTTGTGTCAAATCTTAAAAAAGGGTTAGCCTTGGAAATGGTCATGTAGCCAAGCCATAGCTTTCAGGGAAGTGAAGAAACAGCAATCATCCTCTAAGGTTTTGGCACACTATGATCCCAAGCGTGATCTGGTATTGAGATGCGATGCTGCCCCATACAGCATCTATGCGGTATTAGCTCAGAGGTGGCCCAATGGATAGGAATGCCCACTAGCATATGCATTCAGGACTTTGGTATAAATACACCTAGATAGAGAAGGAAGATTTGGCCATCATGTTTGGAGTCAGGAAGTTCCACCAATACCTTTTATGGATGTAAATTTGTACAAATAAAAGGACTCATTTCCAATGACTCTTAAAAATCTGTACTTAAAAATCTGTACTTAAATATTTGTTAGAAGAGTGGTTAAGGAAATGTGGGGTAATTATATATTTAGGTACTGGAGTGCTGTGTAAAGTTTGGTCTTCTCATTTGAGACGAAATATGAATGTGTCAGAAGCAATTCAGAGAAGATTCACTTGATTGATACCTAGCATTGAGGGTGGTGGGTTATCCTATTAGGAAAGGATGGATATGCATCAATTGGAATTTAAAAAAGAATGAGAGGTGATTTTATTGAGATGATACTAAGAGTATTTGACAGGATAGCTGTTTCTCTTGTTGGTGAGGCTAGAAATAAGAGACAATTATAATAAGTAAGGTTTCTATTTGAAGATAGAGATGCTGAGAAATGCATTGTGGGTAGTGAGTCTTTGGAACTCAGAAACCAAGAATTTAATATTTTTAAAGGCAGAGGTAGATAGATTCTTGGCTCTCAAGGGAATCAAAGGTAATAGGAGTAGGCAGGAACGTGGAGCTGAGGACACATTCCAATCAGTCATGATTTTATTGAATGGCACAGCAGGCTCAAGAGGCTGAATGGTCTACTCCTGCTCCTGATCTGCATGTATATTTGATTATTTTAAGATGACCAGCTATGTAATTCATTTTAGATACTACAGTTAGAATTGATGACAGAGTTTGTGGAAGATTGCCTGTAAGAGATAGAATTTAGCAATGCTTCATTATATAGAGTGCTATTAAACAAAATGACATACAGCTACGTGACGCAAAACTGAATCACTGATGCCTGTTTCATTTTTTTAAGAAACTGCGGTTAATCTGGCAACTAATTTGAACATAGTGAAATTTGACAACAAATGAAATACATGATTAGCTAATCTGCAAGATAGATTTCTATAGTAGCAATAGACTAAAGAAATAAAAATACTGTTAAGTTCTTCTATCGGACCAATTCATTTATTCAAATTGTAGCCAAGTCATACAGATATAGTCTTAATCCTGCTATCAAATAGCTTTTCAAGACTTGCATGTAAATAATGATTCCTTGGAAAGAATCATGTATAGTGACTACAGCTCAGGGATTGTGGCAGAAGTTGTTGGGATGAATGACAGCTGTACAAGGTCAATAATAGTTCTTAATCTTCCATCACAAACACAATTGAAGCAGTGTTGAGGATTGATGGAAAGCTGGTTCCATATCAGTTGGATTTTACTGGGCTTTCTGAAATTCTGCTCTATTTTGTTTTCCAGGGCTGAATGTTCACAGTATGCTGAAATACGAGACCTTGGTTCTTACACTGGATGCAGTCAATTTTCTCGAGAAGAAACTGCTATGGCACGATACCAGATTCTCACCCCTCTATCCATTCAAACTACCTTACAAAGACTTCCCTTAAGAATTATGCAGTAAACAAGTTTAGAAAAAGAGGACTTTTATTTTTATGAAACAATAAAATCTATGACTTCATCGCACAATTCATGCTGTTAGTCAATTACAAAAGAACGTGATTTATATAAACATCATACCAAGTTAATCTAGCTATAAAGGGCAGAAAAACTTCTGTGGAATGGTTCCAGTTGCTAGTTCATGTCTAATTTGCCATCGCAATGCAGATCGCTTCTTCTCTGTTGGTATAATGTAGTCATTTGGAACATAACTGTGCTGAGATTTCTACAGTGGGGTGAAGTCAGAGAAAGTAGTTATTCTATTGATAAGTCACAAGCTACTTCCAAACTTAAGCATTTTAGCAACCAAATTCACATTAACAACAACAAAAAGTGATGGGGTTGAAGAGTTACAAATGCCTGAAAAGTACAATGTCAAAAATTCCAGTAACCAGTGCTGATACAGTAGATAAACTGCCAAAAGGTATTCATTAACATCTTGCACTTACAATGTAGTAAAAGATATCTATTGCTGATATTTAAAGGGTGTCACAGTGGCTCAGTGGTTAGCAATGCTGCCTCTGAGCACCAGGGACCCGGGTTTGATTTCACCCTTGCGTAACTGTGTGGAGTTTGTACATTCTCCTCATTTCTGCGTGGGTTTCCTCCCACAGTCCAAAGATGTGCAGGCGAGCTGGATTAGCCAGGGAATGCGGGGTTACAGGGATAGAGTAGGAGTTTGGGTCTGGGTGGGATGCTTTTTGGAGGGTCAGTGTGAACCCGAAAGCTAAATGACTTGCTTCCACACTAGGGATTTTGTGAAATTTAAAATAATGTAAATTTAGATTAAATGTTACAACTACAGTTCGAGAGGACCTGGCTAATAGTCATGGTTGTGGACTGGGGATAGTGGGATTCAATAGGAAACTAGAAAAGAGACCACTCACCAGAGGTAGTTCGTTCTTATAAAGCATTTGTTCCTAGGGAAGAACAACATATACTTGAAACAATTCAGTCCTGACATCTCTTAAATTTGAGAATGTGCTGGTAAAGGATTAGAGATACGTACCCTTATCCCCCATCGCAGTTCTTTCCTATCTTTTTCTCCAGGAGCTTTGAAAGTTTCCCAGTTTTGCTTGTATTCAAAATACCTTAAAGTACAATTGCAAATACAGGTTTTCATTTAGTTGTCTGTGTTCCTGACAATTGTGACTTTGTAAATAAAGTTACAATAGAATTAGTGCAAAGTCAGAGTTGGGTCCCTGCAGACATTTCTCACTTAAAACAGAATGCACAGGCTAAAATATTGTACCATACATGTGCACTACTATGCATTCCTAACTGAAATAACTTGCAAAGTAAAATGCACCACTAAATATAAACAAAATATAATGTAGATACATTTTAAAAAATAGCTGTATAGTACTGTAGATTGACTGGTTCCATCTAGTGGCAGAAGTTTTTGTATGTCCCAGGACTGCCTGCACTGAACAATATCTGCCACTGAATGGAGCTCAGGATGTGAGAATTCAGAATATTAACACCTTCCCTGCCCCCCTCAAAAAAAATGATAGTCAAGGTTTGGAAACAATGGCAGGGGAGGGGAGACTAGAGAGAAGAAGCCAGGAATACATCACTAGAAGGGATTGAAGGTGTACATCTTGTGGGAAAGATCACTTGCACAGGCAGACAAAGCAGGAAGTTTGTGGCAAACATTTTACTAATGATGTTCAAGTGAAACAAGTGAGTCAATGTTAAGATATACTTTAACGTAATTAAATCTTTGCTGAAACACACACCTGAAATGTAGCTCAATTTTGGCAATAATTATAAAGTCCTGTTGGC